ATTATTATAACTTATAATAGTAATTACTAATATATAATATAATTATACTAATATAACTAATATAATTTATTATAAGTAATATAATTCCTATTAATTATATTATAAGTAATATAATTTATTATGATTATACTAATTAAATATATATTTTCTTATTATACTAACATAGTAATTAGTATAATTACTAGTATTATTGCACTAATTGTTATAATAACATCTTGATTAGAATTGATTGTCTTAGAAAATAAAATTTATTGATATTATGCTAGAAGTTATAATTGATTATTTTGTAAAATTATTAACATACATCGTAATATATTGCAGACGCCGGTCGAAGATTTTGGAGGAGACGGTCTTGATTACCGACCTTGTTTCACAACAACTAATCTATTTGATAGTGTTGACGAAGCTATTGAATGGGCAAAAGATATTGCAATCATATGGAGTTTCTTATTGGTCATCTCGAGACACGAAAAGAAGGAAAGAATAGGTTGTTGAGGTGTGATCGGGGGGAACGTTATAGAAGCCGTGTAGGAAAGGTAGTTAATGCTATTATGAGAAAATCGAAAACTAAATCGACCAACTGTCTTTTTCAGTTAAGAGTCAAATTTGATTCTCAATCAAAAAAATGGTATATCTCGGTTCCTTTAGATGATGAGAAGGGAAAGCATAATCATGCGTTGGCTGTTAATCCCGAGGGTCATCGACAGATGAACGGGCTTAGCGATTCGTCCAAAAAGATTGTCCGTGATATGACTTCTGCTCAGGCAAGACCGGCAGCAATTTTGGCTGCGATTCAGGAGCAAAATCCTGTAGACAACGCTACTTGTAAACAAGTGTACAACTATAGATATAAAGTGCGGAAAGATAATTTGCAGGGTAGAGATGTGGCTGACCAACTTCTGAATTTTGCTAAGGCCAACAACTATATACATTACGTAGATGTTGATCCGGACACACAGGCGTTGACATGTGTCTTCATGTCGCATCCTCAATTAGCCAGTCTGTTCCGGACATATTACTGGTATGTCGGTATAGACTCCATGTACAAAACCAACAGGTATGTTATGTTACTTCATAAATACCAATTTAATGTGAATATTAACTAGTATGTTTGAATACGTTTTTTGATTCTATGTTGCTTTCATTTTTACAGGTACAAGATGCCATTGGTGGAAATGATTGGAATGACGCCGTGCAACAAGAACTTCTTAATTGCCTATGCAATTATCAAGAACGAGACCGAGTACAGCTATAACTGGGTCCTACAGCGGTTGAGACTTCTGTTACTTCCTGATGTACATCTTACAGCCATTGTCACTGACAGGGAGTTGGGTTTGATTACTCCTATTCGGATGAATTTCCCTCAGTCGGCCCACTTTCTTTGTACGTGGCACATCAACAAGGATGTGAAGACAGGGTGTATCGACTAGCAAAAAATAATAAGCTCTTCGCTCAGAAGTTCACGCATGGCAAGTGGAAAAAGGTTGTCGAGGCGAGCACGTTGGAGAAATACCACCAAACTGCCATAGATGATTTGAAGACTACATACGTACAATTTACTGAGGTGCTACGCTATTTGGAGCAGACATGGTTAGTCTACAAGGAGAAGTTTGTGAAAGCGTGGACGAACACTTTTTTACATTTCGGCAACACAACGTCGTGTAGGGTGGAGAGTGCCCACGCTACGTTGAAGCGGTGGTTGAACACGTCGACCGGTTCGCTCGACATGGTGTGGGAGAAGATTCACAAGGAGGTTGGGTCTCAAATGACTCAAGTCAGGTATATTCCTTAGGTTATACATTTTTACTGTGTTATTATTACGTTATTTATTTGGTTCTAATGTTATGTAATGTATTACCAAGGTCACGCTGGAGTCTTCGAGACTTAACATGCATACGGGTTACAAGGAACCCATTTTCGCGCCGTTGAGATTGCGGGTCTCGCATTACTGTATGGATTTATTGAATTATGAGCTTAAGAGGATGCGAGAGTTGAGCGAAGAAGTTGCCGATCGCTGCGGATGTGTACTCTGGTACACTCATGGACTTCCTTGTGCCTGTGAGCTAAGGAAGGCACTCACTATAGATATGGAAATTACTACCCAGGTTCTGGTGCACACTAGAGCTGACGGACCCAGGTACAATTACGAGATTGATTAATTTATAGAACTTATCCTAACACTATGTACAGAATATAGAGTGTGTTGTTTAATTTTATAAATTATTTTTGTGGACAAGTCAACAGAGTGCATCGGCAAGCGGATGGACTGATCGTGACTATTTTTATCGGCTTGCCGTGGAGCTTGAAGCGGCCGATCCCGCGATGCTGCGGTACGTGAATCAGTTCATCGACTCTCAACTTCACCCCGACCAACAAGGTTACAAAGAACCTGCAGTGAAGGATAATCCGAGAGGTCGGCCCAAGAAGCCCAATTCAACAAAGCGCGATCTATCGAAATGGGAGTACAGTCAAAGACGCTGTAAAAGCACTTCCTCGTGTGCTCCATCGCAATCGGAGTACACCGAAACAGGTCGCCTGCGTAAAGGACTTCTTCGTGTGCTCCATCGGTATGGGATTACAAGGAAAGAGGTCGTCCGGTGGGGCGTAACAGCAGTTCTTCGTGTGCACCGACAAGCTCGTCTTCTCAACATTCAGATACAGGTGATTTTTTTTCTTATTTATTTGTTTATCTGAACGATAACTAATTATGTTTGTAAGTTCGATTATATAATTTGTGACGTGAAATTATTATGATAATACAGATACTTTCTCGACGATTTTCTACGAATATCCGCATTATTGGAGAATTCCCTACGTAATTCACCCTTACGTAGAGAGCTATCTGGATGTGACGCCGGATGGGAACTGCGGATTTCGGGTGGTTGCGAGTTACATGTATAGGAACCAGAGGAGGTGTCCAGTGGTAAGAAGGAACATTGCAAATGAGATTGCAGCCAACAGACAGTTGTACGATCCTGTGTTTTACCATGAAACCGACAGAGCACTCGATCAGATAAGATGGGACGGGGGGCCTTGTGGCGAGGAGCATTGGATGGAAGTTGTAGGCGACTTCTTTGCTATTGCTACACTATTTAATATAGTTGTCGTGTTGTTAGGCAATGGTGACAGAAATGACAATATCGAATTCAATAGTATGACATTTTTGCCGCTGCGCGAACCATCCACGGCTATAAGACCTGACCGCGAGATCGCCATGGGTCATCTTGGTTCTTACAAACACTTTATTCGTCTGAATCTATCATCTGATTGTCCATTACCGCCTATGTGTAACCTTTGGCGGACATTCCGAGATGTGACGGTTGCAGGATGGGATGATCAGTATCAGACAAGGATCGAATATTGGCGGCATATTCGTAGAGGACCTGGAGTTTGATATATTATGATATTCGACTTATGTTTGTTGTGATTGATGACATTCATTATATTAATCTGCATTATGGGCGATATATTGTGATATTTGGCCGTGTTTATCGTTTCACGTGATATTATGGAACTTTTGGGTTGGAATGTGGTATAACATTTGGA